GAGAAATGGAGATCTGGAGCCGTCGGTTTTTCGGTTGCGCTGCTCCTGTTCGCCGGATTGGACGAAGGTAATATCCGACTCCTAATTTTCTTCTTTTTTAATTTAACGAAAAAAAAGAAAGGAACAATCGTTTAGCGTTATAATGCTGGATAAAATAGACCATGAAAGGGAAAAGGCAATACTGTTTGAACCTTATACGTAATTTTCAGATGAGACTTTCATCTTTCCAGACTATTCAAATTCGGTGGTGTATCTAGTGATAAAGCTGACAAAGCCCGAGCCATCCTTACGTTTTTTCGCGTAATGGAGACCTCCCTTAAGTCTTCCTTTCAATTTTTTTGGAGAAGAAAGAAGGAACAGAGAAGAGAAGAAAGGAGACTCTTCCTTACGAGAGAAAGAAGCAAAGCCCCTTGCATCTTGAGTTGCATCTCCTTCCGGCGGTGTTATGGTTGGGAGTGCACCTTCCTTTGTAGCTAGCGGTCAGCTAGAAAACTAAGTCAGGAGGGGCTTATCTCATGATATTCTATCTCTAGCCTCTCCTTCCAAGTTTGAATAGGTGCAATTTGTAGGAGGGGCTCCATGGTCCAAGCAGTAGCCAGGGCTCGAGCCACACCCGCCCCGATGTTGGATCCGCCCCTGCTAGTAGGCTTCAAAAGATGGCCAGGGACAGGCTAGCACGCATTGTTGGTGGGCGTAGAGCAGTGAGATAAGGTGACGGAAACAACATTGGCTAAGACGGTAGAGGACAACCAGTCATGGATCGAGTAAGGGCAAAGGTGGTGGTGGTTTGGTGGAGGGACAAAGAGAGCTTGAGCAGCAATGGTATCCGCGTTAGCTAGGGAAGTTAGTAGGAATCCGAAATTGGAGTACCTAGAGCAACGATATTGGCGTTAGCTAGGGAAGTTAGTGGAAATCCAAAATTGGAGTACTTGGTGGTTACCCGATAAAGAGATATGTATGGAAAGCTTGCTTTATTCGATAAAGAGACATGTATTGGAAGTTTTTATTCACACGTGGTTATACTAATGAGTAAAAATCTCTACTCATTGAGTAGAGTAGATGCGGATACAGATACAAACTATTTGTACCTACATAGCTATTAGTAAAGTAATTATACTCATCTCACCCATACATATGCCCTCATTAATTCAACCAACAATATCCCTAACACACCTGCAACACGATCGAACTATGAAAATATAAGAATAGAGTGCACTAGAAGTTCTCAAACTTGTTCGGTCGTGTCATAGCAATTCCCAAACTTGCAAATCTCTCGTTTAAATCCTCAAAATTATTCGGTTATGTCATCCCGATCTTAAACCTGCAAATCGCCCACTGAAATCATCAAACTTGCTCATTTATATCATTCCGAACCCTAAACTCGCAACTTGCTTATTTAGATCCTCAATCTCAAACCTGTCTACATTTGTGCTCATACATATATGCTGATATCCCTACTGACATCCGTGTTCTCATGTTAGCTCCATTTTCCTCCTCCCTCTTCTCTCTCTCTCTCTCTCTCTCTCTCTCTCTTCCTCCTCGCGTGAGCTCGTAGCTCAGGAGCAACGCGGCTTAGGAGGCATGGCCGTAGGCTATAGGGTCCACACAGCCGGGTCGACATGGCCAAGGCGACGCTTAGCCAAGGGCTTACCTTGCACTAGTATAATGTCCGTGATAACGTCATGGTGACATTTGGTAATCCAAATCAAATAACAAAAAGTGATTTACCTGCGTAAATCAATATTACAACGGAAACACCCACCTCTTTGTCAAAGAGAGCTTTATTATCACGGATTCAACAATATCATTACAAGACAAGACTCTTGACACAAAACTGAAAACAATACTCAATCTTTGACATGACATATTGGCGAATTCATGCATAACTTTATTTCGCTCAACTCAAAACTTCTCAATTCTTGAGCTTTGCAGCTACCGGCCTTCCTGTTGAGCTACTAAGGAGCGATCAAGTTGTACTCGCACGTGTCAACAAAAGAAAAAAAATAAAAGAAAACTCACGAACTGTTAGACTCAAGCATGTTGCAGCTTATGTTTCTGCTTCTACCGAATCCCCTCTAAGCATGCTGCAGCTTCTGCTTCCTCAACATCCCTGCAATGTTACTACAGATCACGCCACCTAGTTAATTTTGGTAGCCCATCTCTTATCTCCAGACTATAGTGTCTATTACACTCAGTAGCACCCGGATAAGCTAGAATTTGTTTGTATTATTTTTGCACTCCATAATTGCAGAAAAGAAAATCCCAGCATGCCCAGGGGCGTGACCAGCCACGAGGGCCAATTTAGAAAGGTATAAATTATATGATATATTAATGATTTTTTCTGTTGTATTTAAGACTGATTTCCCTCGTCCATTCACCCCTCTAGACAAAGTTAAAATCAGCTCATTGTCCATTTTCGTTTTATTTATTTTTGTTCTTTTTCTGCTGGGAACTCTTTTTTTCACATGGTAGAGAAAGACTTGACCTATATTTTCTTGATTATTAAAAGAACTTTCTCTATTTCTTTTTCTATACTTGTCTTGTACTCTTGTTAGTTAAATACCGTGCATACTTATTGTTTGATATTGTTTTATATTTCCAAAAACTAATATACTCACTTTGTTCTAAATTAGAAGTTTTTTTATTGTTTTATGTGCATAGACTTTTTTATGTGCAGTTTAAGTATACGAAATGTCTTTACTATGTATCAAGAAAACCAAAATGCTTACAATTTAGGATGAATGAAATATTATCTTTTAACACTGGAGTTTTGAAATTTACGTATTCCTCAATTGCATTAATGGCGTATATATATATATATATATATATATATATATATATTATAATAAACCTAAACCCCACTAGAAATTAATCTCGACATGCAAGCCATCCACAGCGGCAACCCCCTAGCACATGTAATTATAACACATATCTATTCATGCAAGTTTACATGTCATCGAGCCACGTCATCCACTAAACATGCACTATTCGTCCACATCAGCATACCACGCAACATCACTAAAATTTATTCGTGATCCCCGCAGCAACACGTGGAGTATACTTCTAGTTTGAGTTATTTGAGAAGACGTCAATTATTTCGACAGTGTATCTCAATTTTCTGTATTGTCTCTTAGCTATTCTGATAGCAGCGCATATTAATTATTTTGATAATGTATCCTGATTATTTTATATGTATCTAATTAAGTTGTTCTATATTCGTTCTGTTTTCAACACTACTTTAGCAGCTTTTCAGCGAAGGAAATCAGCATGGGCCATCGTCTCTTTAGGAGTAATTGTTTACGAGTACTACTTTGTGTAGCATTCACCAATATGGCAATATATACAAGTGTACTTACTTATGTGACGCCTGCCACGTTTTGAGAACATGCGGCTGCACACGGAAGAGGCACACGTAACCAGTCGCAAAAAAACCGTGTCCGGGACGTGTGTTGCTTCAAGGCGTCCTTGTCACGGGAGACGCAGCGCATACTCGAGCGTGTTCCCACCATTTCCTGGCGGATGAATGAACACCCATGAGGCCATCTGGCCATGAGTTGATTGCTAACTCCATTTTGAAGGCGTACAGGTGGCGACGATCCAATCAATCAAATGCAACCGCGTTGCTTCCGTGTTTGAACTCGAACTTATGGTCCGGGAACGTTGAGAGGATAAGCATCGACGTCCCTGCGGATGCACGAATGTTCAGGTTAACGGCAACATGTCGCTAATATATATCTACGGGAGAGGACTAAAAGTGGTGCCTTTGACTAAAAAAAACACTCCAAAGTGAAGAGAAGAGCAAAAAATTTGAAATCCGCAGAAAAAGAAAAGGACAACATGAATAATGTGTCAAAGATTTCATGAGCACGAGAAGAAAGCACCAATTAACCGTTGCTCGCATTGTAACTAAACGACCACTCCAAAAGTCAAACCCTATTTAAAATGTGTATACTACACACAAACAAACCACAACAACATAGGCTGGGTAGGTGTGCTTAGACGAGCGAGGTAAAACCCTATTTAATGGATGCACGGCTCTACAAGAGAGCTAACTCATAGGACCTATTTTCTTGTCTTCGTTTATTTGTAGCCAGACTTGTGTAGTATAATCTATTTATAAGGTATCGTGAATGATTTACTTAACCCCACAAACTATTAACCATGTATATTTAGCACATTAAATTTTGTCAAGCCAATCATTTTATACCCTGTGTTGGTTTGGTCACCTAGGTTTGCTTACGTGGCACTCAAACATAACAGACAGAGATAGAGCGGCTGCAGGGCCCACCAAGTTACACATAAGTTTGATTTTCAGTCTTCAAAGAAAGCCGGGTAACAGATACGTTCCAACTATTGAAACTGGATAAGTTTAGTCCTCTAACTAATTTGAAAGATGGGTTCTATTTTTTAGAAAAATAATAAAAATCTGATTTGATCTCTACAAGATCTTAATTGGTTTATTTTAAATTAAGAAAATATGATTATTTTAAATTAAGAAAATATGAGACTAATTCCAGTTCTCTTATAAAAGTGTTAGAAAGTACCTGTTTATGATTCGGCCTTATCAAAACATAGCAAATAATCACAACCAAATCACACGGCAGTGGCGAGAGGACCGGACACAGGACAAATGACACGTCTGCAGTCAAATGGCCAAATGGGGCTCACGAGTCACGCCTCACGGGCAGCGCCACCGCCGCCGCCCACCGCCACAGCCACCTGGCCACCTGGGAGCTCGCTTTGACTTCGCCATTTCTTGATCTGCTTGCTGGCTGCTGCTGCTGCTGCTGCTGCATCGTCGAGCCTCGGCGGCCGAGTCAATCCAGGGAGGCGAGAGGCAATAAAAGCTCCCACGCCCCGCATGGCCTCGCCTGCCAACCGCCCCCGTCCCTCCCTTCCCTCCCAGTCCCACTGAAACGCAACCGCTCGCCCACACACGGAAAAGCGACGACCAACGAACACAACCGACCACACGCGGCGGAGCCGACCCCGACCCCAAGATGCTCGCGGCGGGAGGAAGCCGAGGAGGGGTTCCCTGCGCCGCCGCGCCCGCGCTCGTGGCGGTGGCGCTCCTGGCCCTCAGCGCCGTCGCCGCCGCCGACTTCTTCTCCCCTCTCGCCCCCATCTTCTCCCCCGTCACCAGTAAGCGCGCGACGAGCACCCTCCTGAGTCCTGACTCTCCGAAGTCCGAACCCCGATCCTTGACGATTCTTCTCATTCGGTCGCAGACTCCATATGCAGCACGGTGGCCTGCGGGCAGGGCAACTGCACGGTGGCGCCGGGCACGCTGGGCTACCGCTGCGACTGCCGCCCGGGCTGGACGCAGCTCCACGTCGGCGACAGCCTCAGGTTCCTGCCCTGCGTCATCCCCAACTGTAAGCAGGACACGCTCCTCCGATCCATCAGCTCACTCCTCTGTTCATATACTATAAGTGATTCACTGAATATTCTGCTTTCTGTACTCGTCATCACTCTCGCGTCGCGCGTGTTGCGTTGCCTGGTTGGGCTAGCTTACAAGTCACGAATGGCCTGCCAGCACATCTGAGCTAACACCATCCGCCATCCGCACCGTGCGTGCTTCCTTCTTGTTTGTTGCCGTCAGGATCGACGCATAGGCATAACTAACTGCCACCCCAGCTTGTCTTCTCTTGTCTGCTTTATTTGAGTATATGATCATTTTGCTGATTTGCTTCCTGATGGTCCGGGTGTGTACGGATATTGGGAGAGTAGTGCGCACTCATCATCAGTTCTGCCAGCTCAAAGGTCTTCAGAGCGGATATGTTGAATTCGGGACCGAATCATAGCAAGACTTAAAATTTCAGGACATGAAACACGTCTGAAAAAGTCTGATGGCTGCAGTTGTACTTTGCACGCATTATGCATCCACATGTATTGCGTGCAAACCCAATCGGGACTACCGGACTAATGTAATGTTCGGCAAGTCCTTTTTTTAGTCAACCTTGGGAAGTACTTTTCATCAGGACTGAAAAGTCTGAATGCATATGAACTTCATTGGACCTTCTGTGGCATTTCAGTTTCGTTGTCAGTCTACGGTCTCTTCTACTGCTAGAAGAGAAGACGGTTTCGTAAGCTCAGGGCGTGTCTCCATCAGTAAGAAAAAGGATGGCATTCTTTGGAGTGTTCGGGTGCAGTATCGTTTTCGGAGTGACTTTATGCATTTTACGCCACAAGGAAATGCTGCTGAAAATTACATGATGCCTTTTATTAGTCTATTTATTTATTCAGCCTGTATATATATTGAATTCAGCATTCACCCTCGCATGATTTCTGAATTATTTGCCTGCAGCTACCTCTATCTTCCAACGCCACATACAAATTTAACCAGAATATCCATCAATATCCTTATAGCAACAGCTTTCTTTTTGTCCTGGCAACAGTTTTATTGATGCGTACTAATATCATTTCAAATGATCAGATCATGATATTTCCTTTCAGGTTCCATTGACAGCTCATGTTCCAGTGGTTCACCAGCACCAGCACCTGCACTAGCCCTGAGGCCTTTGCCAGCACCTAAAAACTTCTCACTCGACCGTAATTTCCACATCTCATTACTCCTGAAACATATATGGTTTTGCTGTAACCATGATGTTTTCATGCCATATCTGTTGGTTTAAATTCTGCCTCTGCCATTCCACACCTACAGCTTGTGAACTAGCATACTGTGGCGCCGGAAGCACATGTAGGAAGAATGGCTCTGGTCTCAGCTACCACTGTGAGTGCAAGGAGGGTTACAGCAACCTTCTCAACATGACCATGATGCCTTGCTTTCAGAACTGTAAGATCAAACGCCACAAGTGATTTGCCTTGCGAAACACGGGCTGCCATATTTCATCCCATAATAACTCATGGCACCACTGTAGGTTCCTTCGGCCCAGATTGCGCAAGCATAGGTATTCATCCCTCCTCAAACAGCCCTCCTGCACCACCTGGCTCTGAGAGCATTTCTAACCAAGGCGATGCAGCAGCACCAGGTACAAAGTTCTTTCAGATGTCAATGAGGATATGCGTGTGTGTTTTCATACAGGGATTCAGGTAACTAACCTACTGGCGTTTTCTTATAACTCTACAGGATCCATTTCACAGCAAATTCTACTCCCACTGCTGGTGGTGATCTCACTGGCCGTCGGTCAGGCGATATAGATTGAGGATGGAGCATCCCACGGTACCACTAGACTGTTTTTATCCACGGGACAGGATAGAGTTGATAGCTTGTTAGGGATACACTTTTGGATGTGTGTTGTACTGCTGCATGGTTACATTTGGTGGTTGATTTGCAGTGTAGGAGATGTTGTTACCCGGATCGTTTTATGTTGATATGGAATAAAGTGCTTCTGTGAATACTGGGATAAATAAAGAGACTCTTAGCTTGCTTGCTCTGAACTTCTGATCACATTCAGATAATATGACAGAGCTGCCATTTGCTTCAGAGGACAGAGGATAGTGTTCTTCCTTCTTTTTTCTATATGATATGACTTTTGGGTGACATTGGTATCCGAATGTTCAGAGCCTTTTTTTCTTCAGAGGACAGATAAAATTAGGCTATTTTGATTTTATTGCGTTCAGTTCATCATTTCCTTTTTTTTCTACTCTTATAAAAACAACAAGTAGTAATAAAATTTGTATTTACCTGGCAATGCACGGTGTTGTGCTAGTTAAAATAAAAGGAACAGCCTAAATATTTGTATTCGCCAGAATCGTTTGAAATTTATTATTATAAGATTTATCTTCCTCTCGGTTTCTTCACAAAAGTGAACCACATAACGGGCCATAAAGCGGCGTGTTTCCTTTCCATGAACAGTAATGATGGGCTACGACGGACATGTAATGGCCCGAGAGTCCTAGTTCCTTTTCATGGGCCCAGAGTCTTCCATCAACATATGGACCTCCACAGCTTCTTCAGTAGAGATTTGTCTTTGGGCCTCCGGCGACTGGAAATAAACTATAGTACTTTCTGGTCGGATAATGTGTTCGTGGATGACGAAACTGTCGAAACATGTCTTAGGTATGTCAAAGCTCTGTAAAACTAGTAGAAACTGCCAATTTTGTAGGCACGCATTATGCTGAAATACTGAAAAATAGTACTAAACCTAGTAGTAATTAACAATGCAAAAACTGCAAATTGACCATCCACTTGCATTGCATCCACCATGAACATATTTAGACTGTGCAACTGACAAGGCTAACAACTGACTGACTGACCGAGTTGTTGCTGTCCATCACACCATCACGTTTGGTTCTCCAAATCAGCAGGGCAATCCAGTGCAGCGCATTGCATGCGCTCCGAGACACGCAGGTCGCTCCCCATGTTTCCCCAGCTACAGAAGCTGGCCTGCATCGTCGGACAAGAAAGATGCTTGTTTCTGTGTTACTACACGAGCACCAACAGCTGGGGGGCTGTTTTCAGATTGTTCCTTGTTTCTGTGTTACTGCTCCGCGTTCTAGCTTGTAGCTTGTCCCTTGGATCTGTGTTACTGCTCCGCGTTCTATTCTACGAGCACCAAGTGGTTGCGCTGCTCACGAACAGGAACAGGAACAGCAACGGGGCGAGCGAGCATGAGCATGAGCATCGCATTGCTCCAAGAGCAAGCAACGTTGCTCCCAAGAATACTGTTAGAAGAAAGCGAACAGGCGAAGCTTTGGCAGCTGCGCCGGCGCAAACTGCGACGGTGCCCAACCCAACCGCCCACTGCCCACACCCTTTTTCGTTTCGAGAGAAAACGGGAGCTGTAGAACTGTAGACAGGTTCAAGAAGCCAGTTTTTCAGGAGAGCATCGTCGTCACTCGTCAGTTGGATAAGCTAAGCACACAGATTTTGCTCTTTCTCCTACGTACTGTGCTTCTCAGCAGCGTCTTCTATCTATCTATGTAAATCAGCAGTACTTATCGGGATGAACTGTAATAAGTTTCTCTTTTGCTTGGTGCTTGGTGTTAAGACTGTAATGATGCTCTCTTATCTCCTTACTCCTTAGCCATCTGACTCTAAGACAGAGTTTAGGCTAGGAGCTCTGTTTTGTGCTCTCTGTAGTTCTTTCCTTCTTAATCGAACTCATGTACTTCCGTTTATCTTTAAATGGAAATGGGGATGACCTTCGCGTGGAACAGCAGTAGTTATTATATCAGTAAATTGTCCGTCACGGACCTCGTTGTTCTTACTAGTAATCTTTTTGTACTTATCTTTGTCATTATTATTATCCAGATTCCAACAGCAGCTGGCTAGCTACGAAATGAGAGTGACGCATTAGTACTTGACGATAGCCTGTAAGCTTTTTGGTGTCATAAGCTGTAACCCTTTTTAGGACTCTTGTTCCATCTCCGGCCAGCTTCACAGTAGGCTTTTAAAAATTGCTCGAGGACAAGGCTCAGTGTCCCTGCTATTAGCAGGCTTCTTTCGGAGTTGCAGCTATTCTTTTTCCCAGTTTTACCGGGGTTTTTTTCCCAGTATTATAGTGCATAAGATTCTCTTAGACGAGCAACCCTTGAAAACAAGGCCTCACCACCCTCCCAACAGTATGCCCAGAAATTTTTCTTGCTCAAAAAATAATTAATATATAAAAGAGTAAAATGCTCCGGAGGTCATTAATTTTCGTTGAGGTGTCATCTAGAACCATCAACTTTCAAACTGTATTTTTTGGTCCATTAACTTTCGTTGGGTGTCATCTAGCTCCATCAACTTTGAAACTACATTTTTAGTCCATGAACTTTTAAAATGGTTCGCTGCAGGTCCACGCATGCATGCATGCATGTCGGCTTCGGCCTCCGGTCTTTGCGTCGGTGGAGCCATGCCTGCACTCGCAGCCACCGCTCATCTGCCGGGCGGAACAGGATCTTGACCCGATGAACGTGACGGCACAGGCGCCGACGCCCATGAAGCGCCCACATGAGCGGCTGCAGCCCCGCGCCGACGCGCGCGCCAGCGTGAACAACCCCGTCGCACTCCCGTAGTCCACGGACCGCTCGTCATGGCTGGTCACGCGGATCATGGCCGCCTCTAGCTCGGGTCTCCTCAGCGCTGGCGCAGCCACCCGAGAGCCGGCCGTGGAGCTCGCGATGCTGCAGGTGGATGAGGATGAGATGCAGTGCATGCTCTGCAGGTGGATGTGGACGCTAGACCCGGAGAACGCCTCCAAGACGATGGGCCTGCTGCTCATCTAGGACAACAGCGACAAGGAGCTCATCCGCCTCGCCTTCGGCCCGGAGCATCTGCTCCACGCCTTGGTAGCCAGCCGCCGCAGCGTCGAGCTTCGCCCGGCAAGCCGCGTCCCGCCGTCGCGCCGTGCTCGGCCAGCTGCTGCAGACCGCCCGCCTGGGCCTCCCAAGCTTCGGCGCCGGTCACCACTGCACCACCAATCGCCCTTCGCGCCGACCGGCTCGGAGTACGACGGCGGGCGCCGACGTGTTCTACGCCGACGACCACGACGTTCGGTCCCCACGGATCGCTCGGCCGACGCCCACCGCCGAGCTTCTCGCTTCGCCGACGCCGAGGCGGCCAGGTTGTGGAGGCCCTGCATGTACTACGCGCGCGGGTACTACAAGAACGACTCCTCCTGCCGCTTCCTCCACGGCGTGCTCGAGGACGACGCCGCGGAGCGGGAGATGGCCATCATGTGCAGCCACCCCAGAGGCCGTGGCCGCAGCGCCGCCACGCGCGTCAGGTGGCGCGAGCAGTCTCATCGTGGAGCTCGCGATGCTGCAGGTGGCGCCGCCGGGGAGGAGCGGTTGTCGGACGCCGACACAACGGCGTTGCTACGGCCACGCCCAAATCCAGTCTGTCTCGCCTGTGGGCAACCCCACGGCAGCCGCCATCTGCATGGGAAGGGAGAGAGAGAAGCTAGCAAGGGTCACGAGTGCTCTTCTTGCTTCATGCATGGACGACGCCATGGCTGAGCTCGTGGAGCTTGTGGGCAGCTCGGGTTGGACGGAGGGAAGCAAGGCGAAGACCACAGGGAGGGAGGGAAGAGCGAGGGGATGCTCATGAGCTGCTCACCTCGTCTTGCGATGACGGTCAAGCTCGGCTCATGCATACTGACCCGATACTCACGGATATCTGCGTGTGGCAAAATGCGAAGCGAGAGCAAAGCGAGCGAAGTAAGCCGAAAGCGTCTTCTTTGGGTGGTGGAGGAGAGAGCACCTCGGCGTCACCTTTTATAGGTCGGAGGAGGGGGGGTTGGCCGCGAGCACAAAGAATCTTCGCCTTCAATGGCGGCAACTGCGGTGGGCGTCGGCTATGCGGCGTCGCTTTGCTATGCGACAACGGTGTATGCCGAGGCGATGGAGCGTCTGTGGGGTGAGTGAAGGCACGGCAGAGGTGAGTGGAGCAGAGGGCGGCGTGTGTGCCTTGCTACAGCGGTAGGCGATGGTGTAACCAACTTGCTCTGCCGTGGCTTAGGGTGATGGGACGACGCGAGCAGGGGCTGGGTGGCGTGTAGCGGGGGAGGTGAACTGAACGTGAACACGCGGTGGCGAGCTCAGCTGCCTATGTGCTTGCCTCTTGCTATGCGCAGGCCTGTGGGCAGGCAGGCAATGTGCACGGCCTCGGCGACGGAGCACGGGAGCGCCGCCGCAGGAGGTCCATGCAGTGGCTGCTGTACGCGCGTAAAGACCGGAGGCCGAAGCCGACGTGCGTGCATGCGTTGACCTGCAGTGAACCATTTTAAAAGTTCATGGACAAAAATGTAGTTTAAAGTTGATGGACCTAGATGACAACGCAACGAAAGTTAATGGACCCAAAAATATAGTACCTAGATAACACAATAACAAAAGTTAATGAAGCTCCTGTGTATTTTACTCAATATAAAAATATATCGCTAGCTCGAAATTTGAAGCGTCCAACGGTCCAAGGCGAGAGGAATGAGCAAAAGGTTGAAGAGGAGCGCAAGCAATGAGCAAAGCCACCATTTTCGCAAGGGAAAGCTGCAGGTGCTGGCCTCAAGGTGCGTGCCTGAATGACACAAAAATGGAGCCTAGCCAATGCAACGATGACTAGCCCTGGGCCTGATGGGCATGCAGTAGATCAGCCTACTACTAGCCCATGTAATGTGGCATTCAGATCTCAGACTCGGACAGCAAAAACAAAAGCATTAGTAAAATATTTTTTCTTCAGCAAAAACAAAAGTAGCTCTAGGGAACTTATGTTGATTTGACGCGAGTAAAGCAGCAGCAGCATAGTGTCACTGGCTGTGGCAGAGACGAGGGAAAAGGCCGGCGTAGCCACTGTTGCTTGACATTGTATGCGCAGCTGCACAGGCTTGTTTTCCTTTTATTATTTCGAGGAGTCGAGTAGCT